CCTTGGTGAGCTCACAATAGATCAGCCCCACTGTCTCCGTGGGTGGGTGCACCCCTCGTGGTCCTGACTTCTTTGCTCATATTTTCCCTCCTTCTGCTCCTCCTTGGGACATTGGGAGCTCAGTCCAGTGCTCCAGTGTGGGTCTCTGTCTCTATCTCCATCCATCTCCAGATGAAGGTTCTATGGTGATATGCAAGATATTAATTGAAACACTGTCCCAACTGTTTCAAACTCTCGCTTCCTTTGAACATCAATATTGAGCAGGGTGTTTTTATTTTATTTGGTTTCATTCTATTTTATTTATATTTTGCCTGGTCCCTCGTTTTTTTTAAACTTATTTTATTTAATTAATTAATATTCTTTCATTTATTTTACATCCTGACCACAGCCTACCCCCATAACCTCCCTCCTGATTCCCATCTATCCCCTCCTCATACACCTTTCCCCTGTTTCCATTCAGAAAGGGGCAGGACTCTCATGGGCTTTAACAAAGCATGGCACATCAAGTTGAGGTAGGATTCCCTCCTCCCACTGTATCAAGCCTAGGCAAGGTATTCCAGCATGGGAACAGGTCCCCAAAGCCAGCTAAGTGCCAGGGACAGGTCCTGATCTCACTGCTAGGATTCTTTCAAATAGACCAAACTACACAACTATCACACACATGCAGAGTGCCTAGGCTGCTCCCATGCAGGCTCCCTAACTGGTGGTTCAGAGTCCATGGTCTCCCATGAACTCAAGTCAGCTGTCTCTGTGGGTTCCTCCACCATGACCCTGACCCCCTCCCCAGCTCATACAATACTTCCCCTCTTTCTTCAGGAGGACTTCCAGAGCTGGGAACAGTGCTAGGCTTTGGATCTCTGCATCTGCTTCCATCAGTTACTGGGTGAAGGCTCTCTGATGACAGTTAGGGTACTCACCAATCTGATTACAGTATATGGCCAGTGCAGGCACCCTTTTCACTATTGCTAGGAGCCTTAGCTGGGGACAAGCAGGTTGTTTTTAAACTGAAAAAGATCTACCTGCCTTCTGAGAGCTAGGATTAAACGACCACGTCACAAAGACTAGCTAATAGAATCTTTTCACTTCCAGGCATTTACAATGAGAAGCCATTCCTTACTGCTGATGCAGGACCTCAGGGAATCTCAGAAAGAAAAGTGACTCTCCTCTGTCACATGCATCCTTCCTTTGACATCTTCATCCTCTGCAGAGGTGGAAGTGCCTCCTTTCCCCAGAGCTGCTCACGTCAGAACCAGAGCGCATTCCTCATCTCCCCCGTGAGCCCAGGGCGCAGGAGCACCTACAGATGCTTTGTCTCTCAAAAAAACAGTTCCTACTTGTGGTCACTGCCTAGTGATCCACTTGAGTTTTTAATTCCACGTAAGTATGTCTGATTTTTGTTTTTTTTCTTTTTATTAATTAATTAATTAAAGATTTCTGTCTTCTCCCACCACCGCCTCCCCTTTCCCTCCCCCTCCCCCAATTAAGTCCCCCTCCCTCGTCAGCCTAAAGAGCTGATTTTTGTTTCTTATCTCTGTCCTTAGACAGGAGGTCTCAAGGGATCCCATGTGGGATGTATCAATTCCACTTTATGTTCCTTGTGTGCCACATGCTGCACTCTGCACTGCTCTTCTGACTGAAATTGCTCTATTTGTGTTATGGGCTCTGAGCATTATGTGTTGATTATATTATTTTGGAGACATATTCGTCTGGGAAATAGACATCCTCATCTGTTCATAATGAGAATCATCTTTCAGAGTGTTCCTTTCTGAGTTATTATATGTGTGACAAGTACATCACTAGACAATGGAGACAGAAAAATAGAAAGAGTATCTGCTAGTTTCTCCATGAGATTGATGGTAGTTTTTTAGGTCTCAGAGATCATGTTTTTTTCTTTTGCCTTTTTGATTATAATACATCATTTTCTCCTCTCCTTTCCTTCTCCCTAAACCCTCCCATGTACCTCTCCTTGTTCTCTTTCAAATCTATGGCTTATTTTTACATTAATTATATATACATCAGTATATATGCATGTACATGAATATATTTTTGACATAACCTTCTTAGTTTGTATAATGTTAAAATATATATGTTTCTAGAGCTGAATTTCATATTGAATAATTCATGTTCTCTTCCCTGGGGAAGTCTATTTCTCCACCCTCTCAGCATTCCAGGTTCTTTATAGTCATTTATGTAGACTGGGGCCTCATGGGCTTTTTCCCATCCACTATGACATGTCTGTCTAGTTTCCTTGTCCAGCTCATGTTTAGGTTGCCATGTTGGTGAAACTTTATGTAT